ACAGGGTGTTGAGGAGAATATTTGGACTAAAGAGAGATGAAGTGACAGGAGGTTGGAGAAAACTGCATAGTGAGGAGCTTCATTACTTGTACTCTTCTCCAAGTATAATTAGAATGATAAAGTCAAAGAGGATGAGGTGGGCAGGTCCTGTAGCACGAATGGGGGAGACGAGGAATGCATATAGAATATTGGTGGGAAAGCCAGAAGAAAAGAGACCACAGGAAAGACGAAGGCATAGGTGGGTGGACAATATTAGAATGGATCTTAGAGAGATAGGATTGGATGGTATGGATTGGATAGATCTGGCTCAGGATAGGGAACAGTGGAGGGCTCTTGTGAACACAGTGATGAACCTTCGAGTTCCATAAAATGCTTTGAAATTCTTGAGTAGCTGCAGAATTGGCGGCTCCTCAAGAAGGGCTCAGCTCCATGAGCGAGTGAGTAAGTAAGTATGTAAGTAAGTAAGTTGACTTATATATGATATGTATGCTTCTCGCTTCTTCGTGTCTGGCATCCGCTTTCAGCTGGTTGTTATCCACCTTGGTCAGCAGGAGTTCTAACATCTGCTGTATGTCCTTGTCCCTGTCTCGGGGAATCCATTAGCTTCTTATATATCTGCGATATTGGGTATGTCACATGACAAATAACTTCACATAACCTTCGCATTCAACGATTACTTAGTGAACTCCTCATCCACACTTGCTTAGAGTCAGGAATACAATTACTATCACTTGCGGTATCCCAGCTACTGCCTCTACTTCAGTACTTCTACCGTGGCTGCGACCTCTCAACTGGATCTCGACCATCTTCAACGGCGGCTATCCCAAGACTGTATCAGTAAATCCATTACCTTCTTATATATCTGCGACCATTGCTACGCAGTGAATTTTCTGCTGTCCATCTCCAGGGAAACACTGCTTCGTTGTTTCGGCCTTCTCTACGCAACGGCTCACTGTTATTGTGTTAGCATAGACGTACCTACTCCAAACACGTTACATTATGTAGTTACTAACTTTTCTATATCCAGAAGGTGTATCACCAAATATGGATTCTTGGAACAAATAAATTGATTGATTGACTGATATCCCCCTGGATATTCCTTCAGGAATACCCACATTATGATTGCCATTAACATTTCTAACTTTTTGGCAGTCCATTCCGATGCGTTGATTGATAATTTTTTTTTTTTTATTTTATACCCTGTTTGAGGAACTATCCATTAATTATTGTTTTAAGATCTCTGTTCCATATGTGGGCTCTTTATTAAGAATTTCTAACATAATTTTTGTTGCTTTTTGTACATTTTTGCTGTTTGACACAAGTTGCATTTTATTGAATTTTATACTGGGTTTTTTGTAAAATGTGACTTACCTTGATGTTTATGCCCATATAGCACATATAGCCATCAAATCTGATGTGCTTTAAAACCCAGACTTTCATAACAATTCCATGACCATAACCCAGAACTCTTTTTGAGTATGGTAAATCTTTCCTGTTATGGTGCATTTTTCTTTTGGGCAGATTGTAAGCTTTCCTGCATTTCCTGTGTGTCAGATACTAGACTGATAATTGCAGCACTAGACTTTGGTATATTTCAGCCACATTTCAAACTATTGTATCAACTATTATTTTCATCATATTATGTGCATGCCATGAGAAATTTCTAGAGGTGGATAGACAGGGCTGTTGGAATTTTACACCACACTCAGTCCTGAAAACTTAAATTCTCTTACCTGCACTATAAAGAAAGAGGTAAAGTTGTCTCTGTGCTTAATTAATTAAGCACTGTGCCATGAAGGTGGGGTTGTGGAGGTACAGTCCCACCATTCTTGACCTCAGAACTAGTTGGAGGTGACTGGTCAGCTTCAGGTACTGGTCGCTTTATTCCCAGGGAAACTGTTGACAGACTATACAGACTATATTGACTGTTGAGAGATATCTTAAAGCCCATAGAACAGTATTTCTCCTCCTATTAAATGACTTCCATCTTATATTTCTTAATGCAGTATTTCTTTATTTTTCTACTTTGAATACTTAGAGAAATCAAACCACAAGAAGCAAATTACTAACTGCCTGCATTATATATAATATTTCCTTTTTGTATTTTGTTGTGTAACCAGTCTGAAGAATAAACTGTGCACATGTAGAAATATCCTGGTGATAGAGATTGTCCTTTGTTGATCTGCATGTCATGTGGTTTATTTGATGCATTTGTGTGCTGTATCTGAACACACACACACTGTCTGGTATACATGTATGCAGGATTGTTATCCATTTAAGCTCAAGTGTCAGTCTGTGCTTTCAGTTATGAGGTCTTGATGTAAGAACCATTTGCTCTGCCACAGGTCCTGCAGACTGGGCTAGAGATTAATGAGGTGGACAACTCTGGCTTCAGCACACAGGGCCCCACAGTGTATGCAGGCAATCTTGGCTACAACAAATACATCATCCAGGTGAGCCACAAGAAAAGAATGAATACTACATCAACCGCAGAGATATGCAGAAAGTATAATGATCATATTGCTCTTTTTATTTAATGATACTGCTTAGGCTGTGTAAGATGAAAGTATTATTGTCCCTGTGCCTAAGCAGCATGTACTGAAAGCTTACAGGAAGTGTGGTGGGAAAGGTTAATAGAACATTAACCTTGATGCCAGATGGAGGTGAGAGAACAGATTCATGCTTCAGCTTCCTTACAAGGAGCCCGTGATATCCATTCATTAGGGTACTGACCACTCCTCACATGTGTTCCAGACACGGTGGCAGAGAGAATGATTACTGCCTCTGCTGGGAATCACTCCTGGGTTGTTCACTTCATAGTTGGTTGGATGCTTCACTGATTAGTGCTGCATAATAAAAGGGGTGTATTTGGGAATGATATAAAAGTGTGTTTGGTGTTTGTTTCTAGCATACTGTTGTTTTGGTGAGAGGCTTTGGGCACTATTACATGATCTGTGATCTATGCTGACATGGATTTAATAGTGTCACTTGAGTGTGAGTTGCCATTAAGGGAGTGAACAAAAAATGTGTATCAAGCAAGCTCATCAGCTCACAGTGTTATCAGTGTAATAATTCACATCAGAAGACTCAGACATGTTATAACGTAAGATAAGTTATTAATTCACAATTCTTAAGCAACTGTTCCCACCATGTATGTTTAAAAACACACAGTAAACAAGTAAAATTGTCCTAGTGCTTAAATGATTAAAGACAGTGCCATGAAGGTATATGGGGGAATGATGGTGTAGCTCCACCATTCTTGACTTACACACTAGATGGAGGTGAGTAATCAGCTTCACATCCCTGCCACTTTACCCTTCAAGGAAAGAGTCCCCATTATCCATTGTATAGGTGGCTGAGTATGCCTCAGAGCCAGTCTTGATATTATGGAGATGAGAAAAATCTCTTGCCCCTGCAAGGTACTGGTATTGATAGATCAAGAACTGTTATTTTGAATTGTCTCATTCTGGTCCGCTGCGCTATTAAGTTAGAAAGTTAATAGAATTTTCCATCCAGTGCGGCAATAGAGGTCACATCACTTTTATTATTCTTACCTTTCATGTTTCGGTTTAAGTAAAAGCATCATCAGAGGCACTTTTCATACTGCAGGAGACACTGTTAATTAAGCTGGTTTGATGTTCACTTTCAGTTGTGTTATTCACAGATGTATGTTTCCTATTATTGTCGTAAGTTTTAGTTACGACGGCATTCGTTGTATAAAAACATAAACATGCGGAATAATTGAGTATGCCAGTAGGCTATACGCAGCACAGGAATTATCACTTTATCTATTGCCACACTGGACGGAAAATTCTATTAACTTTCTAAATCAAGAACTGTGTTCGCTGTTGTAATAATAGTGTTGTTAATAGTATGGGTTTGTGACATGAGACATCCCATGCTTTATATAGGAATGTAGTCAGTGTCTACAAGAGGAATAAGATGAATCCGATCATAATTTAACCCACTAAGGCAGCATCCACGTCTGTAGTATGGTTTGTTGATAGATCGGTTGGCTTATAAGTTATATACAGTAATGGTGCTGTACCAACAGCTGTCGTTATTTAATGTCAGATAAAATGAGAAGATGATGATGTATAGATTTTTTTCCCCCCCTGGGCACTACAGCCCCAGTGGGCCTAGGCCTACCTCCATGAACTTCTCTGTTCACTTTGGTTTTTTTAGATCTTACACATTTGGTAGGACTCCTTGGGCAGGTGATCAGCTTGTCACAAGGCACAGACACAGAAAAGCACACACACAAACTAAACATCCATGCCCTGAGTGGGATTTGAACCCACGATCCCGGTTTCCAAGCAAGTGAAGATACTACTTGCCAATGTATAGATTAGGGATACATAATTTTAGGTTCAAACACAAAATATACCTCAAAGGAATGAGGAGAAATATGACACCTCAGTCAGGATAGCAAATTCAGGTCACGCATCAAGACCTGGTAGATGGGAGTATGATTTTGATTGACAAGTCAGAAAGGACTGTGGTAGACTCTAAAAATCTCAGGGTAGTCAGTACCAGGTTTCATGAATATAAGTGTTATTGTTTGAACTAACCTGCCTGGTAAAAAGGCATTTGATTGTGAGTTATGGGTGTGGAGTACTCAGAAAAATCCAAAAACCTTAAGATAGCTGCAGATACATCCCAAATACAAATCAGGTATACTACCACTTCAGTTAACATTTTGTGGTAATCAGCACTGTGATTTTGAATGAACATATTGTTTAGAAAATATTCTAAGGAAAATACTTTGACCAAGGAAGGATAAAGTAAGCGGACAGTTCAGGTTGTGGCATTAACATGGAACGTTTGAATGCTCACCTAATACTGAGGTTATGTAGGAATGAGGAAGCCATGAACATGTATGCAGAAGTAATACTGTTATTTTTCAGTCTTAGTTTTGTAAATTTCTGTATAATGTTCAGATGGCTATGTGTTTTTATTACATTGTCACATTATATGTCCTAATTACTGCTGTTAGCGTCACGTGTTTTGGTCATGTCTTGGTCAACACTGTGACCACCATCCAGTGCATTCCTTGATACTGCCTGTGAGATGGTACACTGGTAGTATTTGTGTTCTGGTGTCAATTGATTGAAGCATTAATTGTTAAGTTTTTATTAATGTTTCGCTCAACAGAAGATACTGGAATAGAAATACTAAGAGTGTACCAGCTCACAGGCAGTATCAGTGAATGTATCTGCTGATGGTCACAGTGTTGACCAAAAGATATTCCAAGAGCATTAATAAGTGAATGTAATGTGACTGAGAAAAAGCCACACAGCTATCTGAACATTAAGAAGTTGCAGAAATGAGAATGAAAAATACAGTATTAATTAACCAGTGCAACAGGATGCTCAAATATAATATTATATATGCAGAATTTTGTTAGCTGTGAACTGCAGAGCTACACATTGGAAGACTGGGAATTGGAGGCTGACATTAAGATGGATCTTAGTGATACAGGTTTTGAGGATGGGAGGTGGATAAAAGTGGCTAATGTCTAATGATGGTCATTGGTATTAGTGTGTTAAATTTTGAGACTCTACTGCCATACAGTTAATTGTTTAGCTGGTAATAGAATGAGGAAAGACATGACCTAGTGTAACTGATAGGTATACTTCTTGGTTGTTGTTTCTTAAGGACTATATATTTACATAAGGGAAAGGGATTCTGAATATATATACTGGATTGAACTGGCTCAAGTTTGTATGATTATGCCAGTGAACTGGTGAGTTCTATAATGGATAAATTATGAAACAACTGAATAGCTCTCAGTTACTTGAGCTGTAGGACACATTGGTTGTGATTGTTGTATGGAGATGCTGGAAGTACAAGTGTTGCTGTTTGTGGTGTGCAGGTGTCACAGATGGGTGTGCGACTGCTGCAGGGTGTGGAGCAGGTGCAGCACATCCCTCTGGACCTTGGCTCCCCCATTGTGCATGCATCATCTGCAGACCCACATGTGGTCATTCTAAGTGAGGATGGCCAAGTGATTTTGCTGACACTTAGAGAGAGCCGTGGCCAAGGTAGACTGAGTGTCACACGACCCACCCTCTCTCTTGTGAGTAAGAAATTATTAAGTTGTTCTATCACCATTACATGTGCATGAAGCTCTGTTACTGAAATGTGAGAGAAGGCAAGAATTTTCTTTTCTGAAGCTTTCAGTTCTGCAGAATGATTGTCAAGAGTTAATTAATTACTGCATAGCTGTGTAAAATGTTTTGGATACAATAGTTAGTTAGTTAGTTATTGGAGAGGGTGGGTTGCCCCATGCACTTAGACCTGTAGTGGTCCATTGTGCTTCCCTCTATGATTTCTACCAGTCTCTATATCCTACCGGTATTGGTGCTTACCATCAGTCCCGCCCAGCCAGCGAGACCGGCTCTAATAGCTGAGAGGCATCTATAATGCTTCCCCCATCTACCAGAGGTATTAGTGACTGCTGTTGGGCAGGAAACATCCGCAATTTTGGCTCAGTGACCTCCTTTGGAGGTATGAGGTCCTTTTACGTGCCGTAAAGCTACGACACGGGACCCACGGCTTAAAGTCCCTCCCGGAGGACTTGTTCCCTGAATTTTTCCGCCCTTAAAAATTCGACAACCTACGCCGGGTATTTGAACATGCGTACTACGAGTCATGAGGTGGGAATGTTACCTCTAGACTACAGAGGCCGCCTTTGGATACAATAACTGAAAGGTATCTGGTAAACAAGCATGTAGAATGTAACTAAAAATAATGTGCTGAGATACTTAGTATCAGAAATATAGTGTAATTTTGATATGACAAGAATTTATTAAAATTTGTAAAAATTCTCATTGTAACAGATGGTCTAAACACTCCACACATAACTTTCAAGTCCTTCTTCTAACTTCTAATTATATACTGACAATGCAGCTCTCAGGTTTAAAAAATTTCATGGAGGTACAGCAGTATTTATTATTTTTGAAGCTGTCATGGAAATGTAAAAATAATTTAATGTTCCCAACATCTTTAGCATTACCTGAACGAAGAAGTCAAAGATTTTCACAATTGACCACTTCTTAGAGCCGTCATATACAAACAAAACTACAATTTGCTGTGCAGCTGATAGTTCCACTTACATTCTGCCCACAGTTCACTGCATGCCCAGATATCGCGCCCACATTATACCCACAGCTTGCTGTACATGTATATGCTTATGGGAATAGAGACTTATGTCAGACTTTCTTGATATCCATAACACACATAGACATTCATTCATTCATTAGTAATCTGTCAAGATGACAGGTCCACAGTCTCTTCCAAAACAGTTCCTCCACTTAATACGATCTAGAGCTTTCTCCTTCAAATGAGAATATCCTCTTCTGTCCCCAAGGTAATCCAGCATCTTCTTATGTCTTCGTCCTCGTCTTCTGGTCACTTCTATCCGCCCCTCTATCTTTCCTTCAATAACTTCTTTTAGGAAGCAGTTACTGGGTAAGATATGACCAATCCAATTAGCCTTCCGTTTTCTTATTTCATGTAGGATATTCGTTTGCTCACTGACTCTAAATAACACTCTTCATTTCTCACATAATCGGTCCAACAGATCTTCTCCATCCTTCTCCAACACCACATTTCAAAGCTTTCCAGGTGTTTCTGATCTAATGCCCTAAGTGTCCAAGTTTCAGCCCCATACAAAGCCATGCTCCAAATGTAGCATTTTACTAGTTTCCTTCTCAAATTTATGTCCAGTTTGCTGGTAAAAAGATTCTTCTTCTTGCTAAATGCAGCTTTTGCCATGGCAATCCTGGATTTAATTTCACAAGTACACCTTCCATCATCTGTTAACAAGCTACCCAAATATTTAAAACATTTCACATTCTCCAGTTGTTTTTGGTCTATCTTTATTGTGACTTGGGTTGGTTGTCTC